TTTTTTTTCGTATAGGGTCGCGAATAAGATCGAATTTCAAATGTGGCTCTCTTGCTTCCCTTTCACCTTCGAAGGGTTAAGTATCTTCGCACGTATCGTCCCTTTCTCTTGGAAGCTTCAAGAAAAGAAAAGAGAAAAAAAAAGAAAATAAGAGAGAGAGAGAGAAAAGAGAGAGAGAGAGAAAAGAGAGAGAGAAAGAGAGAGAGAAAGGAGTCTTCCGTTTCCGGATTGGCGCGTTAATCGAAAGAGCCCATCTTTGAGAGGGTAGTAAGTATATGGTATACCTTGTCTCTCTTTCCCAAGGATATGGTACTTAGGCACGTGGTATATATATATATATATTTTTCAAGTATTTTCTTTCAAGTACTAATATCGTTCGTCTCTTTCTCCCTCTCTCTCTCTTTCTCTCCCTGTCTCTCTTTTTCTCTTTGGAAAATGTCTATCTATCTATCTTTCTTTCTTCCCTTACTTATACTTTTTATTCGTTTTGTTTTTCAAATATTTTTTGTCTTCGTCATTTCACTTTTCCCCCTTTTCTTTTTTTTACGTTCGTTCATCCCTTATTTTCAATCTATTTTCCATTTTCTTTCTCTCTCTCTCTCTCTCTCTCTATTCGAATTTAAAAAGAAAAAAATAAATAGTAATTACTGTATTAAATGATGAAAAAAAAAAAAAAAAAAAAAAGAAAAAAACTAGGAAGAAAATAAAGAAATCGTTAAAACGAATTTAAATAAATAAATAAATAAGTATATACATACATATATACATAAATAAAGTAAATATATATGTATAAACGTATAATTTTTCAAAAGAATTGCCGATCTTTATTTATTTTATTTTATTTTATTTTATTTTATTTTATTTTATTTTATTTTTTTTTTTCTTTTCTTTTAATTTTTTTCTCCCCACGCTTGTACTTCACATTCTCTTCGTTATTCACATCCTTATTTCCACGAAACTTTTCGTTCGAAATAAATAATAAAAAAAAAAACAAAAAAAAAGAAAAAAAAAGAAGAAACACAAATAAACAAATTAAATGAATAAAAATGTGGGGGAAAAAAAAAAATTAAAAAAAAGAAAGAAAGAAAGGAAGAAAAAAAGAAAAGAGATAAAACGTCGAAGCCAATGGAAAATTAAAATGTGTTACATTATTTTCTTCTTTCTTTTTTCTTTTTTTTTTTTTTTTTTTTTTTACTTATTCTATTACTCACCATGATTCATAATATTTAGCCAGGCATATTACTTTCGTAATAGATAGAAAACACTATACGTTTCCAGATTCAGAACAAGAGGAACCACTCCCCCTCCCTCTTTCCCTCCTACCCTTTCTCTCTCTCTCTCTCCCTCTCTCTCTCTCCCTCTCTCTCTCTCTCTTTATTTATTCACTCGTTTCTCTCGTTCGAATACGAACAAAAAGAAACGTACGATTAGAAAGTTCGATGATTGTTTAGACGACGACACGCGCCACTTCGAAAGAAAGAAAGAGAGAAAGAGAGAGAGAGAGAGAGAGAGAGACTTGTGCTCCTTCTTTCTCTCTCTATTTCACAGAGAAACGTACGATCGCATCTGTAAAAATAATAGAAATCTAATTATGTAAATCCTACGGGATTTTAGAATCGTGTCTAACAGAACTAGACTTGGTCATGAACAAAAGTAAGAGGCGAAAAGGGGGAAAGGTAAAGTTTATGGGGTCGGTTATGGGAAGAAGGAAGGACGAAGAAACACATCCTTATCAAAATACTATGAGAGAAGGAAAAGAGTCTCCTAAGCACGTTCGACGTGTGTTACAACATTCGAATAATGCTACCAACTACTTATATACATACATACATACACCCATATATAAATACATATATATATATATATATATATATATATATATATATATATATGTATAAATATACGTGTCATGTACGTACGTACGTACGTACACGTAAACGTGTCCCTTGATTGATAACTATTATTGATTCTATAAATTTATTTTCTGACGAGAAGGAAGAGGGAAGAGGAGAGAAATAATATAATCCCACATTGGATTTATTATCGATAATGATCCATCATTCCCATTTCTTTTACTAATAAAGATTATCTGAAGTTATTTTTTTTTTCTTCTTTCTTTTTTTTTTCTTTTCTTTCTTTCTTTCTTTCTTTTTATTTTTTTCCTGAGAGAACTAATAGATAGATACAAAGAAAAAAAAATAAATAATATATATATATATATATATATATATATATATATATATATATATATATATACACATACGTATAAAGAGGATAATTTATAATTATAGATAGTATAGATAATTTTTTTTTTTTCTTTTCCTTTTCATCTCTTTTTCTTTATCCTGTTAATCGAAGATATTTTAAATCGTTCAAAAATGCAAATATTTTTCATCTTTGCGTTTCTAAGCTACGGGCAAATGTATGTACGTGTGTATACGCACATATATACATGTGTGAGTGTGTGTACGCTCGCGTATGTGTATGTGTGTGTGTGTGTGTGTGTATTCGTTTTAACATCATGGAACCCTCCTGCCGAGCGAAAACCGACACCTGGTCTGATCGGTGAACCCACACGTAACGCGCCGCAGGACACGACACACGAGTAAGCGTGTAATGAGAGAGAGAGAGAGAAAGAGAGAGAGAGAGAGAGAGAGAGAGACCACCTTTCCCATAAAAATTATTGGCTCTTTTGATAATTTTTTGTTTTTTTTTTTTTTTTTTTTTTTTTATGATTATACGATTCGATTTGATTCGATTCGATTCGATTAGATTTGATACAAAATTTTCATTCTTTGTCGATTAAATAAGAAAATCTCTCTCTCCCTCTCTCTATCTCTCTATCTCTTTCTTTCTCTCTCTCTCTCTCTCTCTCTCTCTCTCTCTCTCTCTCTTGCAAATAATTTCTAAGTGTCAACGTTCTCTAACGTTATAATCGAATCGATATAATTACATCGTATTAAAATTATAAGAAATCGTTAAATGAATCGTTAAAGCGTTTCGATAAATCACGTAGGATGTCGTAATTATTTATTTATTTTTTTCTTCTTTTTTTGTAATCGAATTCTCGAAGATCTGACGAGATGAGATACTTTGAGAGAAAGAAGAAGAAGAAAAAGAAAAAGAAGAAGAAGAAGAAAAAAAGGCAAGAAAGAAAGAGAGAAAGAAAGAAAGAAGAGAAAAAGGGAAAAAAGAATGAAGTAGGGGTTAAAAAACTATAAAATAAAAAAGAAGAAGAAGAAGAAGAAGAAGAAGACGAAGAAGAAGATGAAGAAGAAGTAGAAGAAGATGAAAAAAAAATAAGAATGAGAAAGAACGAAGCATTTAAACGTTAAAGAAAAAGAAAAAGAAAAAGAAAAAGGAAGGAAGAAGAAAAAAAAAGAGAAGAAGAAAAAAAAAAAGAATATTGTGAAAATTGAGACGTACCATCGATTATACGTACTTACGTGCGTACATAAACATAAGTGAATCTAATCTCGTATTATTCGATAGGACATACTAATGCACAAAGTATCGATAAGTATTGCAGTGTGTCGGATTTCTCGAACGGCGTATTTAGTTTATCTCGGATTTAGGATCGTTCGTTTAGGATCAACAAAACGGATCACAGCTGTTGACATCGTCTACTATATCTTTTCTATTTAAGTATATATATATATATATATGTGTGTGTGTATGTATGCACGCATCTACGATCTATGTATATATACACATAAATACATACACACATTATATATATATGGTTTACGTATCTCTTTCTATCGTTTAGTTTCTAACGACGACAACGTAGTGAAACGATCGAGAATATCCGCTTTCCGAAGGTTTTTCATAGTAGTTATAAGCAAACGAGATAAGTCGATAGTAGTAGTACCGGTCGTTGGATTAGTCGGCCCATCGAAGATCGATAGATCATTACAACGGTCAGTGATTTATCACTTATACGTATATAGAAATTTTATATATATATATATATATACGTACGTAAGAACGTTTATACATAAAAGTATGTAAGTATTATATATGTATGAACATATACATATATATACATATATATAAATGTACATGCAAATCTATCTATGCATATGTACATACGTATTAATGTATTAATGTATAATATATCTATGTATGTATGTATGTATGTATGTATGTATGTATGTATGTAATTGTAGAGAAGCTTTTAAAGAGCCTTAAACTTTCTGATCCTTTCTTTCCACGCTTGAAAATCATCTAAGGATCAAGAAAGAGAAAGATAGATAGATAGAAGAGATAGATAGATAGATAGATAGAGAGAGAGAGAGAATATATAGATCTTTCGGATTTCTCCCCTTTGAAGGTGCATCGTCGTAGGAAAAAAAAAAGAGTGAGAGAGAGAGAGAGAGAGAGAGAGAGAGAGAGAGAGAGAGAGAGAGAGAGAGAGAGAGAGGGAGAGAGAAAGGATATATAAAAAAAAAAAGCACCTGGCCTCTTCTTGTGGGCACGGCTTTTACGCGCAATAAGATCGCTCTGTGAGATTAACACGCTAACGGAGTATTATCTCGCTAATCGGGAAAAAGAGTTCGACGGGGCACAAAGTATATAAGTAACCGGCTTCTCTTTCTCCTTCAATTTATATATCTACATTACATATATACATATATATATATATATATATATATAATTTTTTTTTTCTTGTAGATATATTCCTTTATTTCTTTTGTTTATTTTTTTCTTCGCTTCGTTTTGATTTATTTAAATCTTCTTCCTTCTTCTTCTTCTTCTTCTTCGTCTTTTTTTTTTTTTGTTTTTTTTTTTTTTTTTTGGTCCAACGTTAACGCGTTCGTTTTTTTTCAAACATTACTCACATTGTATCGATTTTGATTTATTTAAATCTTCTTTCTTCTTCTTCTTCTTCTTCTTCTTCTTCTTCTTCGTCTTTTTTTTTTGTTTATTTTTTTTTTTTCTTTTCTTTTCTTTTCTCTCTTTGGTCCAACGTTAACGCGTTCGTTTTTTTCAAACATTAC